AAATGCGAAAAGACAAAAATGCCCTCGCGACGACAAAATTCCAAAAAATTGAAAAATGCAGAAAATTAGAAACTTCACAATATAGTCCTTACATATATGTATGGATATATATGATTTTTATATATGGATATATAGAAATATATATATACCTTATATGTGTAACTTTATATATATGTATAGATATATACGAATTATATATATATGTTTGGTGATTTACGAATATATATATATATATATATATATATATATATATATATATATATATATTTAGATGTATGGATTTATATGATATAAGTTATTAACTTGTTAGTTATTGACTATGACATAATGAAAAATTAAGGAAAGAAAGGAAGGTATCAAAATGGGTCTGTACATAATGAAAGAAAGGAAAGTAGTTAATGTGTTATTAGGATTATTTATTGTTTTATAGGAATTAGTTTCTTTAGATATCAGATGGGTCATTAGGATTAGCTGTGCATATATATATATATATATGTATGTACATATTATACTGTAGTAATATTATAGTAATGTGTTACGGGAGTGGTATTAGAATAGGTTAGTTTTTTGTTATTATTTGTGTGTTGAATATATATATATAATTTAGGTTGGGTCTGTAGGGTTGATTTAGAACCCGTACATAGACAGAAGAGAAACCGAAATTCTTGAGGCAAGTCCTTGTTCTATTCATTCTCTTAGATTTGTGTTCAGTTCATCTCTAGAATGATGCTAGGATTTAATTACAATTATGAATTTATACATTTTTATACCAAAAAGACTAACTGAATATGATGTATATGGGTTTGTATATATATAGATAGCTATATATATTCATGTGCACAATTGTTAGTTTCCTGAGATTAAATATATATGGGCATGAATTAAATTATTTTTGTGGGTCTTCTGAATTGCTGACCGACTCATGGTTGGTAGTATGTATATGGGTTTTGCGAATTGTTGTGGCATCACAGAATGAGTTGTTCTGGGTAGTGGTTTAAATATAAGACCTGTTGTATTGTGGTATTGTGTTTTAATTATAAGATTTGTTATACGTAAGATTGGTCAGACCATTGCTACTGTATCTATCTGTGTTTGACTTTTCAATTGGTTCTAATTTATGAAATTCAAATCTGAAGCTTCAGCTAAAATAGTCTTTCTGTTTTTTTAATCCTTGAGACGGTGCACAGATTTTATATATATAGCAGGTGGACCACTTTGTGTTAACATGTTATGATAATATGAAATAATTATAATTTAGATTTTTTTTATTCATTTACATGGGGACGGTTAAAGTTTAAATTACCTAGTACTATTCTAATGACAATAAGAAGAAGAATGAAACTTTTGGATGACAAGTTATCGACTAAATGTCTATTAATATTTACCTTATCAGAACAATTATTGTAGAGGATGACAGTATGTTAATTGATCATGTAACGGTAAATGACTTTATCTGCCTTTTAAATTATTCGCATGATACTTATGATATCTTGCATTGTTATATCAATTGCTCCGGTTTATAGACTATTAATGGTCATGCATGGGACTATATATGTATATGAACGTATACATACTTGTTTAGAAGTGTATGATGGAGGACCATGGTCAGGATATGGTCTTAACAGCATCGTTGTTAGGATATGGTTTGCTGATACATTTATAGGCTAGCTATTAAGTCTAGAACTATATGTTTTGTCAAACCATTGTCAAGATGTGATTATGACTTTAAAGTGTGCCATTGTCAGGATATGGCTATAGTTACTTAAAAATATTTTTATTGGGTACCATGACATGAGCTTGAGATCTCGTGATCGATGGTTAGGATTGGCGTATATTGCCAGACGAGATGAGTAGCTGGTTATATGAATGTGTGTGCCCTGGTAGAAGAGGTACTCGTGACCACCTTTGGTGCACTTGCATGAGACCTACTATCCGGTTAAGGCTGTTTTATGATCCAGTGAAAGTCTATAGTGTGCATACTTATGTATATCGACTTACGTAGTTATTGCATGAGTCGGATTAGGATGTATCGTTTATCGGGTCTCTGTTTGGGATATAATAGAAAGGGCTTGTTCGTGGGTTTTGACCCACCTTTGTTGTTATCTTTTCAGGTCCTCGACAATTCCAGACGTAAAATCAGTTCATACAGAGTAGAGGTCAGACTTCATCACTCTTTCGGTGTCATAGACGTAAGACCTCCACTCTATTATTGTTATTTATTTATTTAATTATTATTTTTTGATTAGTCATTTATTTATTTTCATCTTTAGTTGGGATTTTTATTAGGGGTCCATATTGTATGGATTTCCAAGTTGTACTCTGGAGATTTTATTCTTAAACTGAGAGTTTATTGGAGATTACTGTATTAGAGGATCTATTATTTAATTATTAATTTAGATTTTCCCTTTCCGCATTATTTATTTATTTATTTATTATTCCTTTTATATTCCGTGCTTGTTTATTATTGATTGGTTGATATCCCCTGATTTCATGCGCAAACCTGATCATCCCGTGTTCTGAAAGGGGGTATCATATATAGCTCGCTGATACTGTGACTTGCTTTGGTCAAAATGTGAAATCAAAAATGAAGAGAATGGGTTTGACTGCAGTGGCGCAAGGTTGAGTTCAGCGAAGACAAACCCAGGTTAAGTCTAAAAACCACATACCACCACTACCACCATTACCATCATCCCAAACATAACTTACATTTACAGAGGATATAAGTGCCCAAATAATATACGTATATATTATACACAATATATATGTATATATAACCAATCAATTAATAAATCTGTACACAATAAAATAGAAATTGAAAATCCATCATAAACTAAATCTACTGATCTCAAATTTATGGAGAACCAAATTGACAACCCATGAAAACAATTGGTCAAATCCTATACACACACATATAATATACATTTAAATCTTAAATTAAGATAGAGAAGATACCCAAATGGTTTTCTTTACACCACTGATAAGGACAGTACTATTGAAAGGTCGGAGCTTGATCACCCGTGAAGAAATTGTCAGTGTGGCGGTGGTGTTGAAGGTCTGAAAGTTGAGGGATATGGCAGAGGCTGTGTATTGTGTGGGGTAGTGCTCGAGGAGCCACCGGATAGTCTTGTCATCGGACTTGTGGCTGAGCTCTCTGGTCAATTGGAAAATTCTGGCGGCACACGCCACCGGTGTGCGTACTCTCTTGCCATGGCCTTCCACCTTAGTGTGGCGGTCCTTCGACGCCCTCGGTGATGTTGATTTAGATGGGTGGGCGGTGGATGGGAAGATGGGCAGTGGCTGTGCCTCTGTGTGGTGTTTTTATATATATATAAGACGAAAAAGATAATTTGGTCTTTTAATTATTTTGATATTTTATAATTAAAATTAATAGGTAAAAATTAATTTTTCATATATTTTAAGACTCTATTTAGCTTGCAAATTTTATAAAGGAGTGTTCTTATTTCAAAATAAAATAACTTGTATCTGAGTGTCTTTTTAGCAAACCTCAGAGAGTACTAATGTACTTTACCCTTAATTAAAATAAAGTTTTTTGTTCTTTGTGATATGAAAGCAATTCTGATGTTATATTTAATTGTTTATTTATTTAGAATATATTAATAATTATATTTAAATTCAAAATATTATAAAAATTGATCAAAAGTAATTATATATATAAAAATACAATTTGTTATTTTTTATTGTCATATCTCACTCATATTATTTTTAAAAATCCATATTTATATTCATATCCACATCCATGTTTTCTAGGGTGGAACCGCGGAAGTAGCTGTCAACCACAGCTGGACATGCTAGTTGTACAATCGTCAATTATTATTATTATTTTTTTTCCTGGCAAAACAAGAACCCAAGAAAAAGCGAACAAACAAAAACAACACCCAACACCCCAAAAACACAACCAACCAACTACACCCAAATTAAACATCTTGCACAGCAATTCCACAAGCCTAGGTGGAATAGGATCCAACACCCTATCATCAGCCACACAGTGACGAGACGGTCCCGCCAGCGCATGAGTCATCCGATTATCTGATCGCCGAACATGAGAAACTGAACTCTTAGAAAAAACCCGAAGCTCTGCTTTAATATCAAAACAAATGGACGCAATATTGAAGGACAATTAGCACCATCAGTCACAGCATTAACAATAACCTTTGTATCAGATTCAAAACACACAAAGCAATATCCAAAGGATTCGGCCGAGAAAATAGCACGTCGAAAAGCAAGGGCTTCAGCAGGTACAATTGTCAAGTCACACGTCATAAATTATCCACAACACCGGTCGTCAATTAACTGCTATTTCAATTGACTCGGTTGGAAAATAACTATTGCACAATTATACAAATATATGAAAACCATATTTTTTTTTTACACCCACAATTTTTTTTTATTCCCCAGCTGAGTTTATACATTTTCAAAAAAAAAATAAGATAGAAAATAAGTTTAGAGATTTAGGAAAAATAATTCTCTAAAATTGGAAATTTATTTAGTTATATTTTCACTTTTTCCTGAGACTAATTTTCAAAATTTATTTTAAGATTTTTTTTTTTTTTTTAAGCAGAAAATTAATTTCAAAAAATTTGAACCAAACTGTCTTAACGGGTAGGAAGAACCCTTTACACCTTAGTCACACCATCGCTAAAAGACCAAACCAAAAAAAAAAAACGCCAACAAAAGCATGATATGAATCAACTTAACGGACCAAGGGTCCAAGACCCTCACATTTCGGAGAATTTTGAAATATTATTTGTTGTATAAACTACTTAATTAATTTAAAGAACCTAAGACCCTGGTTTAATTTATTTTTATTTTTTAACCAATATAAGTAGATTTTGACTTTGAAAGCAATATACATTTTAGCAACTTGTATATGAAGCAACCCACATCAATCTAACAAAGTAAACTAAGGAAATGCGAATTGAATAATAGTTAAATTTGGCTGTTATTATACTGATATATATATATATATATATATATATATATATATATATATATATTTGCAGCCTTTATTGAAATATCATAAGAAAATTACAATTAATCCCTTATTAGAACCACCAGTATAATAATATCAGTTACCATTTTTACATCTTTTAGGCCTTCTTGAACATAACCTTGAAAGGCACATCACTGAGAGCCAAACGCCTGATTCCATTCTCAATAAAAATACCCACATCTCTGCATATAACTTTGCAGGTATCGCACACAGTGGGACAGAAAACAAGCTTGTAATCATCTCCATACACCTCAATCTTGAACCAGTTGCTCAACGTTTCGCGACCGGGGTTGCCTTCAACCCCACCGGTGGTCACGAAGTACTGCCCTGTAGATTCGTCATAGTTGTCGAGCTTCCACAGAGTGGTTTGGACACAGATTGAGGACGCAGAGAACTTGATGTTGAGGTCGGTGGACACACGCACAACGCCTTTCTTGGGGTTCACCGGCGTGAAGGTCAATGGGAGGCCATTGTCCACTTCTTGCTGTTCCTGGACCACGTCAAGTGGGCACGTCTCGTTTCCGGTGCTGGCTAGGGTTAGTCCGCCGCCCCTGCCACGGAAAACCGGCAATATGTAGTAGTCGACGCCGGTCCGGAGTATCTTGCCGGTGACGTCGAGCACCGGAGAGGGAGCGGAGGCGGAGTCGGCTCCGGTGAGTGAGGCAATGACGAGGAATGAGAGTGGTAGAAGTGCCATAATGAGCTTCATTTTGGTAGTGTGTAGGTTGTGTTTGATGAAGGTTTGAGGGATATATTGAAACAAGTGGTTACTGGTATTTATAGAGTTCAATGGCACATGGGTGGAACTCGATAAGCTTGGCTTTGTGAGACTTGGTGTAATAGTGGTGGGCTGCACGTAATTGCACGCAAGTCGTATTTGTTACAATGCTGACTTCTTGTTCATTCAATCCTAATCCTAATAAAATTTTGCTTTTATTTTCAAGCTATTTAGAGGTACATATATGATTCCTCCTTGGAAAGTTAGAAAATCTAATAGTTCAAATGGAGTGGTGAACGAACTAGAGGGAAATGTGATGTGCTTATATGTGGAGTGAGTTGTTATAAATGGTACAAGAGCCTGATCAAGTTGGAAGTGTGGTCAAAGGGGACGTTGGGCCCTAAAGCAGATTATTGTGGTGACCTTGTGAGCGGGTGCGAGACACTGACAGACTATCACACTTGGCGAGTTACGTACATGTGCTTATATATAATGGAGTGGGTAGTTACAATAGCACTGTACAGAATATGATCCTTATGTTATGTTTGAGAATATCAAATTAGACAATTTAAATTTTGAGATTAAAAAAAATTAATTTAAAATTTTAATTATATTTATTTTAATTTCAAATTAAAATTTAAAAATAATAGTAATGTTTAGAAACACTAAATTAATAATTTAGAAAAATTATTGTATCAATAAAATATGAATCCTAATACAATCCATTTCTAGAAGTTCGCAGAACTTAATTTGTAAAATATGTAAATAATGATAATCAAGTCAAAGTTTGTAATTTTGAATGGTCAATACTTATTATCCATTCTTACACATCATTGCCTTTCCCAAATAAGATAACATTTTGAATTGAATATTTATGGGGAAGATGTAGTAATGATAATAAAGTCAAAATATTTATATCGTCCGTACAAGATTTTCCTTAGCATATAAGGTTATTTGAATGGGATATGGTGGTGAGTATATTTCTGTATAATAGTGATAAGATCACATGGCTTGTCTAAAGTATTCCACTGTTCAATTAATTATTCCTTGTTAGATTCATGTAGGCTATTGACCAGTGTTCATGTCATGACCTATAGATGTTAAAGAATTCTTGTAAGTTCTTGCCGCCTGAACTCATATACTATTTCTGTTTTAAATTAGATGTTTTATTTAAAAAATTGTGATTTACAAAATTGTGAGTCACGATTTTATAAATAAAAAGGACAGAAGGAGTAATTTTATTTATTTTTTAATCAAAATAAATATCTCATTTGAAAAATTAAAGTATTTTTTTTTTTTTTTATAATATTATAAATTTAACTTCTTACATTGAACTTGTAAAAAAAACGTAAATAGCATCTGTGATCCACTACAGATATATTTGATAATCCATTCACCATTAATATAATAAAACAATATTAAAATTCATTCACTTAAAAAGTTAGATTCTAAAATATATATATATTTAATTTGTGATGGAAGGAGTATGATAAAACAAGTTTTCAAAAAAAATAAGACATCGAAATAATTTGAATACATTAAAAAATAATAATATAATATTTTTAGAGTTATAGGTTTGTTATTTTTATTTTTTAAAATAAATTAATAATATGTAGTTTAGAGGCTTAGAGCTATATGTTTATTATTTTTATTTTTAAATTTTATATTATTTTTTTTTGATTAAATCATAATTTTTTGTAGATTGCATTGAATTATATATATATATTTTAAATAAAATTACAAAATCACGGAGTCATATTTTACAAGTGTCCAAAATATAAATATCATTGTCGTGTTCATTATATGTCAAAAAATAAAATATCCACTATTAAACATGTTTCTAATCATCTAACATGTTTTCTAACACTAATATTCGAAAAGTATATAAGGTTCAAACATAGGAAAAAAAAAAAAAAAATTCACAATCTATGTCATCTTACAAAATCAAAAATCAAAGTTACGCGATTAAGTATATATATCATCACGTGAATGAGTTTTGGACACCAATACCATCCACGGGGTCTCATGTTAGACTTTTCCCAATACAAATCATTCGTAACTTTACAGGTGGCTTGGTGGATACGGATCTTTCTGGGGCGTAAAGTCGGACTTTAAAAAACAAAAAAAATTTTCTTCCGGTAATTAAACAAGTAACAGAAAATTAGAAAAGTTGGATTTTCCTTCATATTTATACTCTGTTGTCATGGAAATTATAATTTTCTGGCATATATGTTACCTACGCTTGTACTGAATCGTATGCCTTTGCAATCTCCAACACCTCCACAAATTTAAATATAAATTAATTTCACCTTAATTGCGCTAGCTAATTGGTTCACTGATGAGGTTAAGTAAATTAACAATGAATCAAACCATATATTAGCTATTAAAAAAGAAAAACAAATAAAACTCCAATATCAATTGCCATTTCTAGTTAGATTATATGTTTTCTTCGAGAAACCTTTTTCTTTTCATCGATCTACTTTTGTCACTAAATTACTCGTAATTCAAACTTAATTGTTAGATTATATGTTAGACAAATTTGTAGTTGTTAACATTGAAAACTATTTTTTAAACCCCAAACACAGAAAATAAATAAATAATAATAAGAAAAGAAATCTGCTTACTATTACTTGATCGAAAAATATATATGAGCGGGAGAGCACAAGCTTTTTTTTTTTTTTTTTTTAGTTGGCACCAGGAACTCACCTAGGCAGGGCCCCTTCGAAACCCACCCTAAGCTACAAACTTGGGGTGTAAGAGCCTCACCCCAAGGAGAGCACAATGTCACGAAGTGATTCCTAAGACGCTTGGAGGATGGAAGACACGCATGCTGGTTGGCAAAGAGCAGAGTTTGACTGGGAATGGTTCCAGGGAAGGGGCGTGCAGGAGCACAGGATGGTACCTCTTCAGAGTTCAGGCAGGTCGACTCGGTTCAGTTCGAGGTGCTTGTCGCTGGTCGTGGACTTGACTATGAAGAAGGGAGTTGGCCATCCCTGCACAAACTGGTCGGGAGCTGGAGCCGTTCCCCTGACGAGGCCATGGCAGGCCGAAACCAGTCAGCATGTATCCTTGGGAGGGCAGGTCGTGGTGGCTGACCAGGGCGCTTGCGCGAGCTGAAGCAACGCCTTGGTGCCGCACGGGCCGTGCCGCTGCGCCAAATCTCTAGGCCCGTGACAAATGGTATCAGAGCAGGACTTGGGGTAAAGCACGGTGGGGTGCCCCCTTGTCGGTCCGGGAGGGGTCAGAGAATGAAGACGGTGCATTGAAGTTGCGTCGATGTGGAGGAATCAATGCAGTTGGGGGGGAGAGCCTCCATCTCCCCAGGAAGAGGCGTCCGTTGAAGTTGCGCATTGAAGGGCCGGAGGGCCGCGCGCACCAAAGTTCGTGCTTAGTCCTTGGGTGATGCAAACCATGGTGAAGGGCGAGCATCAAGTCGGCAGAAGGCCATTGCTTGCTCGGGATGTCGCGGAGGCGGCATGACGGAGAAGAGTCACGTCCTTGAGGAGTGGACGTCCCCTTGGTCCGAGGCCTATCATTGGGCGAGTGCAGTGCAGGGAGCTGCACAAGGAAGCGATGGTGGGAAGGCGAGCATACCGCATGGAGGCAGACTTTGGAAGGGAGTGGACGCAGTAGTGAAGCGCTGCACTGCGACGAGGACGTCGCAGGATTTGGGTGGGGGAGAATGTCACGAAGTGATTCCTAAGACGCTTGGAGGATGGAAGACACGCATGCTGGTTGGCAAAGAGCAGAGTTTGACTGGGAATGGTTCCAGGGAAGGGGCGTGCAGGAGCACAGGATGGTACCTCTTCAGAGTTCAGGCAGGTCGACTCGGTTCAGTTCGAGGTGCTTGTCGCTGGTCGTGGACTTGACTATGAAGAAGGGAGTTGGCCATCCCTGCACAAACTGGTCGGGAGCTGGAGCCGTTCCCCTGACGAGGCCATGGCAGGCCGAAACCAGTCAGCATGTATCCTTGGGAGGGCAGGTCGTGGTGGCTGACCAGGGCGCTTGCGCGAGCTGAAGCAACGCCTTGGTGCCGCACGGGCCGTGCCGCTGCGCCAAATCTCTAGGCCCGTGACAACAAGCTTTCTTATTAAAATGTCACGGCCTTTATTGCAATATATATGAACGGAGAGCACAAGCTTCCTGTCATAATGCAAATATAAATACTATATAATAATTAAGCTAAAAATGCTTAGACCTTCTGAAACACAACTTGGAGTGGTTCACTAAATTTAGCCAAACGTTTTATTCCATTCTCCTCAAAAATGCCAAGCTCTCCACACCGAATTCTGCAGATGCTACACACCCCAGGACAGTGATCAAGCTTGTACCCATCTCCATATCTATCAATTTTGAACCAGTTTCCTAGGGTTTCCCGACCCGGGTTTCCTTCAACACCGTCGGTTGACACAAAACTCCGGTCCACCGATTTGTCATAATTATTGCCCAGACTCCACACATGTGATCGGCCACAAGTTGTTGAAGCCGAGAACTTGATGTTTAAATCAGTTACCAAACGAACCACGCCTTCGTTGGTCACCGGTGTGAACGTTGCAGGGAGGCCATTGCCATCGTTGAGCATCTGGACGACATCTTCTGGGCATCTGCTGCCATTTCTGTTGCCGTTGGATAGAGTGAGTCCGCCTCCATTGCCACGGATACCAGGCAATATGTAATACTGGACGCCTGTTCGGAGCTCTTCACCGGCAGTGTCAAGCACCGGATCTGATTGCGCGGAGCCAAGCAGTGGATTGGTTGAGAGAACAAGGAGGAGAGCTAAAGATAACAGTACCATTGTTGTCTTCATGATTGTTGTAGTTGTGAATGTGTTTTGAGTTTGATGTGTGTTTGCATGAATATTATTATTGAACATGAAAGAGCTTGTATTTATAGGTTAGCTACACATGCACGTGGGCCAATTGAGGTTGGATACGTGGCTAGCAGCTATCAACGGTTCACACAGTACCACAACCATTTTGAATTGGATTTGGAGTTGGACTTTGGATCATGAACAGATGGTGGAAAATTTTGCATTTTTCTTCGAAAATTGCTTGTTGCTAAAATCGATTAAGTTGACCAAGTGGCATCAATAGGTGTAATCAGTAATCACGAAGGAATGGGTTGCGTTAGACTTGAAAATTTTCATTCAATTTAGATTTAACTAAGAGTACGGGTCGGGTCGGGCAATCACAACTCAATTTCGGTAACTTAAATTAAAAACTAGTTAAATTGACTTTATATTAATAGATATTGCTTATAGATTAATATATTTATTTACAGAATTATTATATATTTTTTTTTGGCAAATTGATCAAACACGCTCACTACTATTTTTAGTAAAAATTCAAATCCTGAGGTTAACCTCAATCGAGCTTTTAGTTTGGACTTTTCTTTACGAGTTCAAGGGTTTTGAAATCATATTAAGTTCAGGTTCGAGGTCTTGTTAAATTTGAATTAAATTTTGGATTATTTGAATCAAGACTTGAGCTAACTCATTAATGTACCTATTTAACTTGTCCAAGTTGCACTCCAAATGACAATTTTTTTGCCAGAGGATTCTAATTCTTCTACTTGGATGCGCATTAATCAATTTTCATTTTATTGTAACAATTTATTTATTTTTCCATTTCCAAACGGGTTTCCCAATTTTATAATATCAAGATTTTTCACGCTGATCAAAAAATAATAATAATATGAGGTTAAGCCTGATTGTATTTTATTTTCATGCATTCTGGATCAACCAAAACTGACCCAAACCCGACAAGTTAGTGTCAGTATTTTGGGCAGAAAGAAAAGAAAAGCAATCTGTCTTGAAGTGTAGATATCAAAATCCATTGTCTTCTGCTCAATCCACATCACACTTTATATTATTTTCGTGTGGAAGACCCCATCTGAATGATGTGTATTTAAGGATAAGGTCAGAGAGGACCATTTCATCAGATTTATGGACAATAATGCACGCGATCGAGCAATATATGACAAACTCCTCAATGGATATACATGTAGAGTAATATAATATTCTTCTAAATAATAAAGTTCATGTAATGTATTTGATAATTATTAAAAGTATTTTTATTGGTTTTTAATTTTGACTCTGTAGAAATGAAGTTAGAATTTGAATTTTTTTTAAACTGCATTATGAGTAAAGGTTATATATTTTAAGTAACTTTTTTACTATTTAAAAAAAAAAAAAATTTATACTTTTTTTAGTTTTTATAAGGATAGTCCAAGTCCTTCTTTTTATAAATATTATATTGAAGGATATTATTGTAAAATTAGCCATACAAATGTTTTAAAAAATATTGTTACCAAATAAATTTAATTCCTTCTTCTTCTTTTTTTCCCCTCAAAATATCCTTTAACTTTTGAAAACCATGCTAAATAAAAGTTCAAAATTTTAAATTTTATTACATGGGTGATTTTGGAATACCAAAACAGGGACATGAATTTTTAGATGAAATGAGACCGCAAAAGGTAATTTGAATTTCAAATTCCAATCTAAATTATATGAACTTTTAATTGGTTAGTGGCACCAAAGACCTTTTCCACATCACATCAGGTTGGGAGAAGATTTTTGAATTGGAATAGGTAGTCAAAACACCTAACATCTTAAAATTTTAAAATTGAATGATCCAACTTCTTGCCTATAACATCTAAGAACATGTACTATCTAAGAACATGTACTATCGAATTATGCTATTTAATTTAGATTCATCAATCAAGCTAATCACTCAGAATAATCTAATTTGTTACCGAATGATGACCCAGTGTTTATTATGAATAAAAGGTAGTATGAAAATAATCACGACTGAATTGATTATGCATAGATGCGGTCATTGAGGATTTCACCAAAAAATTCAATATAAGTAGAAAAACAGAAATTAGTTGGAAGTGATGGCGATGTTATATATATATATATATATATAATTAAAATCTAAGTACAAGTCAATACTGGATTCACAAATTAATTAAAAATAATAAAGAATGGAGTATGTAAAAACTAACATACTGTTGAATTCCTTACAATGATTTAATTTTCATGTGTATGCGTGTGTAAATATATTGTTTGCACATGGACAGCTTTTGCAATCCTAAATGCTCGTTTTGAATACACACATGTCAATGTATTATTTTTCTTTTCATTTTGTTATTGGCTTATTTTTCATTTTGAGGTCAAATATATATATATATATATATATATATATATATATATATATATATATATATAAAGTGTCATTTATAATATCATGAATGTACTTTAAAATATCACAATGGTATAATTCAACTCAATACCACAATAACAATATTATGTCACCGCGAATTTACAGGGAAGTTGCACAGGACACGCTTAGGGACGGATCTAGAAATTCATATGAAAGGGGCAAATTTATATAGAATTTTTTTTTTTTTTTTATAATTTCAGTAGGGGCAATTTCAAAATTTTATGAATATAAATACAAAAACGTATAATTTTAAAGATATATTCTCACTGAACCATTCACATATCCGTGCTTGGACACGCTACCACTAAGGAGTGCATGGCATAAGAAGAGTCGGGTTTATTCTTTAATGGTAAAAATATTATGAAATGTTGGGAGCAGTGGAAGATTCTAAAACATTATAAAGTTTGTGAGAATTTTATAAATTATAGAATATTCTAATGATTATATAAAGTATATACTTAGGTAAAAAAAAATTCAAAAAAATCTGAATCGTTCATCCAAGCGGTCCATCAAGAAAGATAATAACAGGGCAAAAGTGTATTATATTATCAATAAATAAAACCAATTGCAAAGTGTTTTTTTGGTATCATTTAAAAAAAATGAAATCTAAGATTTTGAAAACAAATATAATATTAATCATTATCAAATATTTTAGTCTTTCTTAAAAATAACCCACTGAATTTAAATTTGCAGTAATTAAATATTTGATAATATCAAAATTTGCAGTAATTAAATATCAAAATGGCAGTGTCAAGCACTGGATCTGATTGTGCGGAGCTGAGCAGTGGATTGGTTGAGAGAACAAGGAGGAGAGCGAAAGAAAACAGTACCATTGTTGTCTTCATGATTGTTGTTGTTGTGAATGTGTTTTGAGTTTTATGCGTGTTGAACATTGAAGAGCTTCTTGTACTATTTATAGATGAGCAACACATGCACGTGGGCTTTGAATTGTATGACGAGACCAAATGAGGTTGATTACGTGGCTAGAACTCACCAACCATTTTGAATTGAATTTGGAGTTGGACTTGGGAACCCTATCATCTCTTTGAAAATTGCTTGGTGCGGGGAATTGATAAAGTAGACCAAGTTGGTTGTTGGGGGCGAATTGATTAAGCTGACTAAATTGTTGTACGTAACTTGTCCGGTTGAAGCTGATTCATTCCAAACAACACGTATTTTATTTTCATGCCTACTTCATCAATCAAAACCGATCCAAACACAAGAAGTTAGCGTCAGTGTTTGGCCAGAAAGAAAGGAGGAAGAAAAGAAATCTATTTTGAAGAGTGAATAATCAAAATCCATTATCTTCTGCACCTACAATTCGCATCACTATATATTATTTTCGTGTGGAAGAGCACATCTGATCGAATTGTGCGTAATATTACTGTTGACATATTTAAGGATAAGGTGAGAGAGTGTGTGCCTCTATTTTCCTGTTCAATTCATATGCATACGATCGAACAAACTATGACAAATTCCTAAATAGATTTTGAGTAATATAATAATATAGTTCCAAATAATAATAAGAACAAGAACAATTTTTAAATTTTTTTTGGGGGTCATGTTGACAATGCTAACATTAAGCCCATATACCATTATATGTTTTCAAGGTGTACCACGCTAGCACTAAGTTCTGATTGGGCTTTTGTTGGTGTGTGTGTTTGGATGCACTTTTGTGTTGTTTTTTTTTTTTTTTTTTTGCTTTTTTGAAAAGTAAATTTAAATATTATAAAGAGGAAGCCTAAACAGCCCATAGCAATATTACATAAGTAAGCCCAGGCTTGAAGTAAGCCCAGGCTTGAAGTAAGCCAGGCCATGAGAGAATAAAGTAGCCAAGCCCAAAGATCCGACCCCAAGAAGCTAACAGAAAAGGAAACCGTCAATGGCTTCAACAAATCCGGTATCAACATGCTGAAAATCCGCCACTGGTGTGTCGCTGATCAATGGTCTGTTGGTTCCGAAGGTGGTCGAATGATAGAAGGCAATTCCCATTCACTAACGATTCTTCTTGCATTGTCTGAGTTCTTGAAGGATGAGGATAGGAGTTTAGAACGGACTGCATCAAGTGTTTGGTGAAGAACTGCATTTGCTGATAATCTTTTCTTCTGAAAAATCCTCCTTTTCCGTTCTGTCCAAATGTTGTAGAGGAGGGAAGATACAGCCATTTTAGAAACTGCATTGTTGTCTGTGGTTGAATTCCCTCTCCAGTGGTGAGCCATTCATGTTATTAACCTACCCCAATTTAGTGGTAATATGTGAAACCCACGATGCATTTGTATAAATGTCCACAAGGATTTAACGAATGGGCATTTGAAAGCAAATGATCATGGGATTCTGGTGCATTGTTTCAAAGAACACAAATTGTGCAAAGTACACTTTTGTTGGTATATGTGTTTGGTGGTGATTGAGGAATTCACAAAATTTTCCAATATTAGTAGAACTTAGTTAGAACTTGGAAGTGGTGGCGTTATATATAATAGATGTTACTATTAAAACCTACTGGATTAACAAATTAAATGGAAATAATATGGAAAGGATTATGTAAAAACTAACATACCACTGAATTATTTACGATGATGTAATTTTCGTGTGTAATATTTTGCCAGCACATGGGCAGCTTTTGCAATCCTAAATGCTCATTTTGAACACACATACATTGAGAGAATATAAAACTATTCAAACAAAAAAAATTAAAAATATACCTATTTGATATATTCATCCAATTTGTATCGGATTGAAACTTTAGGAGTATATTTTTTTGTACGTGAGGAGTATCCTCCAATACTGTCATTTTCAATCATTTTACAAAATTATTTATTTTTATATATTTTATAACATGGTTCAGTAAGGTAATTTAATCAACTTAGGGTTTAAATTTGTCAAAGTGACATATTTGCAACTTAGGATTTAAATTTGTCAAAGTGACATATTTGCACCAAATTAAAACTTTAGGAGTGTTTTTTTACACGTGAGAGGTGTGATATGCATTGTAACACATACGTGTAAGAAATTTCTTAACATTTTTTTTTTCACATAAAAAAACTCATTAAAAATTATATTTTATACTTCATTAATAGTATAGATAAGGATATATAAATGTATATATTTTTAATTGCATGAGTTCTCTTGAAATACCTACTTTAAAAATTAAAAAATAAAAAAAAATTATATGTATACTATATAATATATTTGTATATATATCTACATTGTATATATATATATATATTTTATTTTTTACATTTTAGATAATTTTTTATGCTTAATAGTCCAATAAAAACATTATCTTTAAATGTAATAAAAATAAGGTTGGATACGTGGCTAGCATCTACATAAGGGCAAGGGCGAATCCAGGAATTGTTAATGGGGGGGCTAATATTAAATAAGGGGGAATTGGGGATTGAAAGATTAAAGAGTTGAATTTTTTTTAGAGAAAATAGAGTTAGACTTTAAAGGGAGAGAAGAAGTGAACTCTCTGATTTGTGCAAGATTAGGAATTTAGGAATTCTCTGTGTTTTGGCTAAGTGATTGTTTAGGGCTTGTTTAGGGCTTGTTTAGCTTGGGCCTATTTGGTTCAGCCTTTGTTTTAAAATTATGACTTAGATATTGGGTTTGTTTGAATGGGTTAAAATTAGAGGTTAATATTATTACTAATTTTTTTTTTTTTAAAACATTGGGCTAAATATTTGTGTTGGGGGCGAATTGATTAAGCTGACAGAATTGTTGTACCTTCTCGGTTTAAGCGGATTCATCGATCCTAAGCCACACGGTTCTTTTATGTGGCATCAACAGGCGTAATTAGAAATGGAGTAACACTACACCACCCGATCTTATTTTCCATAAAAATCAGTTGTGTTTAAGTTAAAAAATTTCAATTTAGATTTAACTATCCAAACACAACCCAATTTCAATAACCTGAATTTTGTTTCTGGTCAATAACTTGAATTTAAGACGTTATTTATAATATAATATATTATTTATAATATTGAACATCCTTCCTTTCTGATTTTTTCCCAAATTGGGTCTGTTGTTCATAGGACTTGAAGCTTATCCTCCATCCTCCCGTCCAAATCCCTTCAACATTCTCTAATGGCCTCAAAGAGTTCTACCATCACTCTTTGTTGTTCATTGCCTTGATTGGATATGGCCTGATCGTATCAAGGATCAGAGCCTGTCGATTTATAGTAGTTTGGTCGGATTGAGGTTCAAGTCCCATCGATCGACAATTTGGCTTGGTTGGATTGAATTTCAAGGCCCATCGATTGACAATTTATAGGTTAATCGGATCGAGGTTCAAAGTCCATCGATTGATTAATGGAGGCTTGCGGTCCCATGCTTTGTGGGCTCGTCGACTGGCTATCTCTGTTGAGCTGGTTAGAGTTCTAATATCAACTAAGTGTTTGCCATTCTTTTTGAAGCTAACACTAAGGTGACGTCAGCTTTATTTGACTTTTGATGCCGTGACATAACCTACGTACATATAAAAGATGAAAAGTACTACTTAAGTATGATATTTTGTCGAAGAAATTTGTGATTGTCAACAACTGAAAATTAGGAAAAAAATAGAAAAAAAAAAAAAAAACCTCAAGAATCAAACTAACTGAACCAAACCTATTTAATTTTAATACAGTAGTATTTTGGGGTTTTCAAAAGAAAGGTTTACCACAAGAAAGAAAAAAAATAAAATCTAAATACAGTATTACTTCATTAACATTATAAATGCAAATGCAATTGTATAAGTTACATTGGGTATAAGAAAAATAAATGTCACTGCCTTTATTGCATTAATATATACGACCTGAAAGCACAAGCTTTCTTATTACATACAGTTATAAAACGGAGATATATCTTTGTCTTAGCAGTAACTTTTATGAGCAGAAAACGTTTTTAGGCCTTCTTAAAGGTCACTTTGAGTGGTTGTTCGCTCAAAGCCAAACGTCTGACTCTGTTGTCAACAAAAATGCCAAGGTCACCACAAAGAACTCTGCAACCCTCATTGACACCACACACAGATGGACAAAAGACAAGCTTGTAGTCATCATCATACTTCTCAATCCTGAACCAGTTGCTCAATGTTGCACGACCCGGGTTTCCTTCAACACCACCGGTTGTCACGAATCGTCCCTCCAACACGTCAGAAGGAGCGAGCTTCCACACGGTTGATTGGACACAGATTGTGGCAGCTGAGAACTTGATGTTTTGGTCAGTTACGAGGTTAACCACCTCCTCATTCGGGTTCACCGATGTAAATGTCAAAGGGAGACCATTGCTACCGTAGCTTTGTTCTTGGACAACATCAAGTGGGCAGTTGGTGCCATTACTATTGGGGCCTAGGGTGAGTCCACCTCCGCTGCCACTGACAGCCGGCAATATGTAATAGTCGACGCCTGTTTGGAGCCTCTCACCGGAGCTGTCAAGAACGGCATCTTGTGCTGCACTGAGGAATGGATTTGTTGAGAAAGCAAAAAGAAGGAAAGAAAGCAATATCATTGTTGTCTTCATTGTACTTGAGTTTTGTTTTGTATGCATGAATGTTGAACAAGAGGTAGCTTGTATTTATAGAGCTACCACATGCACGCGGGTTTGAATAGTATGACATGTAAATGACGTTGGAGAGGTGGGCATGCACACATATTGTTTGAGATGTGTGCTGGCGTAAATCAAAGGACAACTTAAATGTTTGATATGCACGCTAAATAATTAAATATTACCATAGTTAATAGTTATATTATTACTTATGTCACATAGACTCATTCTAAGAAAAAGTTTGGAATGAAATATCTATATCAAGAAGAATTGTCCAATGTTATAATACGATTGCCTTCCAATCCTATCCAAACCCCACAACCTATCCAAGCATAACCTTTATATCTTTTGAACGAGCCAAAACCAACCTATCCAAACCCCCCACAAGTTAATTTCCATATGTAGGGAAAAAAAAATAATAATAAAAAAGATAAACTCTGTTTTGAAGAATAAAAGTCAAAGAAATTTACTTACCAAAAAAAAAGAAGTCAAAAGCTCTTATCATTTTCACAATCACTCTCCTATCTGCATGGAGTATATTTGAATTGGATAGGTACTGTTACGTCAGATGGCATGCCCTTATCCAAAAACAAAAGTCACATGGGCTGGTAAAATTTTGACACGTGTTATAATTTCCTTTTGCTCAATGGATGCAATAACAACCTTTCATTGATAGAAATATCACTTATTCAAAATACCTCAAGTTATTATATAATTTTTAGTCTATTTGCAATAGTTTTTTTATTCCAAAATTATTTCCGTTTAAATCCTTTGAAGACCTTTCAATGCAGAGAAGTGCTAGCGCCTAGTACAGTTGCGTTGTCAGTTGCCAAGTTTTTTTTTTTTAAATTTTTTTTTGAGCTTTCTATTGTAGTGTTGTATATACTTTCCTTAATTTGACAAACATTTACATGCACTAACTATAATTTCTTGCAAAAGTAATGACTAAATACAACAAGACTATTATTACTCTCATTTTTTAATATACCATCCCTTTTACATTGTGAAAGTAAGGTTGATGTATCTCATTTTTGCAATGACATTGAATGTAAATTCAGTCCGTTGGAAAATAACTATTGCACAATTATACAAATACATGAAAACCAGATTTTTTTTTAAAAATTTTTATTTTACACCCAGAATTTATTTTTATCCCCCAGCTGAGTTTATACATTTAAAAAAAAAATTAAGATAGAAAATAAGTTAAGAGATTTACGAAAAACAATTCTCTAAAATTGGAAATTTATTTAGTTATAGTTTCACTTTTTCCTGAGACTAATTTTGAAAATTTATTTTAAGACTGTTTTTTTTTTTTAAAGCAGAAAATTATTTTCAATAAAATTGAACCAAACTGGTCCCTTTACACCTTGTCACACCATAGCTAAAAGACCAAAAAAGGAAAAAAGAAAAAAAGGCCAACAAAAGCATGATACTGAATCAATTTAACGGCCCAAGAATTTTGAAATATTATTGTTGAATCAACTACTTAATTAATTTAAAGATCCTAAGACCCTGGTTTAATTTATTTTTATCTTTTAACCAATATAAGTAGAGATTTTGACTTTGAAAGCAATATACATTTTTACAACATGTAAATGAAGCAACCCACATCAATCTAACAAAGTAAAATAAGGAAATGCGAATTGAATAACAGTTAAATTTGGCTGATATTATACTGATATATTAACATTTTACCTATTATCATTATCAAATATTTTAGGCCTTCTTGAATATAACCTTGAACGGCACATCACTGAGAGCCAAACGCCTGATTCCATTCTCAATAAAAATACCCACGTCTCTGCATATAACTTTGCAGTAATTGCACACAGTGGGACAGAAAACAAGCTTGTAATCATCCTCATACACCTCAATCTTGAACCAGTTGCTCAACGTTTTGCGACCGGGGTTGCCTTCAACCCCACCAGTGGTCACGAAATACTGCCCTGTAGATTCGTCGTAGCTGTCGAGCGTCCACAGTGGTTTGGACACAGATTGAGGATGCAGAGAACTTGATGTTGAGGTCGGTGGACACACGCACAACGCCTTTCTTGGGGTTCACCGGCGTGAAGGTCAATGGGAGGCCATTGTCCATTTCATGCTGTTCCTGGACCACGTCAAGTGGGCACGTCTCGTTTCCAGTGCTGGCTAGGGTTAGTCCGCCGCCCCTTCCACGGAAAACTGGCAATATGTAGTAGTTGACGCCGGTCCGGAGGATCTTGCCGGTGATGTCGAGCACCGGAGACGGAGCGGAGGCGGAGTCGGCTCCGGTGAGTAAGGCAACGACGAGGAATGAGAGTGGTGGAAGTGCCATAATGAGCTTCATTTTGGTAGTTTGTGGGTTTTGTTTGATGAAGGTTAGAGGGATATATTGAAACAAGTGGTATTTATGTCAGATGGCATGCCATTTATCCAAAAAAAAAAAAAAAAAAAAAAAAAAAAAAAAGTCACATGGGCTGCTCTAATTTAGACCTGTGCTATAATTTATGCATATCTTTTTTGCTCAACGGATGCAATAACAACCCTTCATCACTTGTCAAAATACCTCAAGTTATTATATAATTTTTACTCTATTTGCAATATTTTTTTATTAAAAAATTCTTTCCATTTGAATCCTTTGAAGAATTCCTTTCAATGGAGAGAAGTGCTAGCGGCTAGTACAGTTTTTATTTATTTTTTTTAGTTAAAGGGTAAGCATTTGTATTAATATGGAAAGAATATACAAGTCCGTCCCAGCAGGACAACAGCAATTGCCAAAGGCAGGAAGCAAGCCCAGGGGCTTAATACAAGCAAGCTCACAAATAGCATAACACACAATAGTGATAGAGAAATGAGGATTAGCCAATCAGTCTCTTAAGCTGTGACAAGTGCTATAACAATAACACCTAGTCATAGGCTAGAGAATGAGCATTAGCAAAGCAGCAACCTTCAGTGAATAGCCTCCGTAAGTCCTCCACCTTATCAATTCTCCCTAAGTCATGTGCTCTTCTAAGGCTGATCGAGGCAAACCTTTCTCTAATGCATTTTTTGATCAGACAAATGATGGCTAGTACAGTTGCGTTGTCCGTTGCCAAGTTTTTTTTTTTGAGTTTTCTATTGCAGTATTGTATATACTTTCCTTAATTTGACAAACAATATTTACATGCACTAACTATAACTTCATGAAAAAGTAATGACTAAATACAACAAGACTATTATTACTCTCATTTTTTAATATACCATCCCTTTTACATTGTGAAAGTAAGGTATCTCATTTTTGCAATGACATTGAAAGTAAATTTTTGTCAATTAAAGAAAGGGTACGACATTGGACACGGAAAATCTCAAAAAAAAAAACAAAAAAAAGACACGAACACAATCCAAAGAATAAATAAATAAAACATAATATTGTACATAAAAATTAACTTTTATGCACATTTAATTGTGTATACTACTGTATATACTTTTAATTTTTCAATATTACTAAACTTATATCACTAACAAAAACAAATTATTTGTCCAATTGTGTTAAATTCTTCAACAATACAAAATCCAAGATATAAAAAGTTCATTAATTATATCATTTAGGCAATCAAACATTGTTAGTTTACTACATAAACATCCATCCCTTTATCCGTGACTATTTACTTTATTTATTAATTTATTATCTATTTATTTTACTTTTCTCTAGTTTTTGTATTTTTTTATTATAATGGTAGCAAATGAATTATCATAATATCCATAGCGAGTCTACATAGTTATGATTGTTTACTTTTATATGCTCAATATAAAAAGGTTAAATTATTAATATAACAAAAAATAGTACTTTGACTTTTTAAAAGAGCTAGACATTTACAAAAATAAAACTGTTGACATTTTTTTTTTTTAGAATAGAGAGAGTACTTCACTACTTGATATAAGACATAAAAAGTGCAAATGTTGTCAAAGGCTACTAATTTTTTTATTTTACATTTTAATCTCTAGTCATTTATAAAATTCAATTTTTTTTATTTTTATTTTATTTGTTAGAAAATATTTGCAACTGTGACCTTGTGTCTTGGCGAATCGGAGCCATGCACATATCTGTCATGTTCATCTCAAAAAAATAATTATTTTAGGAAATACTTTTAAAATATGTCAGACAGGTGTTTAGCAGTATATTTGTCAAACACACCTCTAGCAAAGTGTCCGTCTGATCTTTGGACGTGTTTCTAAAACCTTTTTTGAACCTAAATATCTCCCAAAATAATCCTCCATTGACACAAAGTAATATTTATTCTAAACTGGTCGAGTCAAAATCCAATTTTAATTGCATAGCATTTGCTTCGAAATGAATGAGTACATCTGCGATGGCATGCAAGTTTATTCCAAACATATGTATATATTTATCTTGTAGTTGGTATGTTAGAAAAATAAACTTGATTTTAGTATTTAGTATTTTTAAGTATTTTTATATTCATGATGCATGTGTGAATTTAGTATATATGTTAGTGGGTAGTAAATTGTCTTAGTGGGAGTTTAAGTATTGTAAAATCAAGAGTCATGAGAGATACAACTAGTAATGGTCATTTCAGTAGGTTAGTAGGAGTTATGCCCATTGAAAATTATGTTAGTGGGAGAAATAAGAATTAGGGACATTTAAATGTAACGGTTACACACACATATGTGAGGCCTATATAATCATATACTCTAGTCATTTTAGAATAAGAATAAGTTAGATATAAGTGAAATAATATATTTCTTCCTCCATTTCTCTTTCAAATTATTTAGATCGTTGTATTTGCTTGTATAGCCCATTATTTCCAACAAAGTGGTATCAGAGCAAAGTCAGAAAGTGGTATCAGAGAAAAAGCCAACAAAGTAATATCATAGTTAGATTTCATGTTCAGAGCCTAGATGATCCTGAAGGCCTGATGAAGTTGATCTTAGAAGGTTCAACATTTGAAAAAAACATGTTTCTCTTTGATGATGATGAAAGGAAGAAAATGTATTTTCTTAGTGAGAAGATGATGTTCTCT